CGCGGCTTTGGGAGTATAGCAGGGTAGTCTGCTATATCTAGGGCCTACGGTATACAAGGAAGGTAACATGGCCAGTGCTACGCTTCAACCGCCTATTATTACCCCTGGTTTTACCCAAGGTACTCATTTTATTCAGGCTGAGTCGACCTGGGGCCTATAGACATTTTTAAAAATGCCTAGTTGTTCTTGCCGGCGGTAGGATTCGAACTCACGACCACCGGCATGCGAGGCAAGCACACTACCGCTTGCGCTACGCGGGCCCTTATTTTTTTGAATTTTCATTTTCAATTAATATTTAACTGTAAAGTCAGAATAACTACTAAATAAAAACCTTATTATCATTATGTAGTTAGAGACGACATAAAATAGCTGACATACGCACATCGTATACGCATTCCAAGCGGTCAATATTTTCTACTGATTTATATGATTCATGGCATATCGTATTCTCACCGCAAAACGAAACTGTCGTTACTATAATTAAAATAAGATAAAATAAAATTATCTTTTGTAAATACTATTTATCTAATTAAAATCATTTTCCCTACTTTTCATCTCTTGTTTCGAATGGGCACTTTTGGTCAATTACGTTAAAAAACATTAATTTAATTCATGTTTGTGGAAACGAAAATACAAATTATACAACCCTAAATTGTGCTTGTGTGTGTCGTGGCAACGCGGCGTTGCTATCGTCCATAAGAAATACATGGCCCTATCTTCGCAATGTTATTTTCTAAACGTGAAACGTAGTATAGTTAGATCTATTCCCAGATATCTAAGCCTTGCTTCCTGCTTTATTATTTTTCCATCAATTCCGATTTTACATCATAGTGGGTATTTAGATGTTGTCATACATTTGGTTTTTTCTGCTGATATTATCATATTGTATTTCTTTACTGTTGTGTTGAAGATAAGTGTTAATCTTTGGAGCTCGTTTTCTGTCTCGGCGAATAATGCGGCGTTGTCTGCATAACATAATATTTGGATTTCTTTGTTCCCCATTCTGTAACCATGACCTTTACGCCTTTACGTACTGCTTGCACTATTTTGTCCATTATTATATTAAAGAAAAGTGGGCTTAACGAGTCACCCTATCTGACTCCGCTTTGTACTGGTATACACTGTGTTAGTTTTACATTTATCTCTGTTTGTATTCGATTATGTAAGTAGATAATGTATAATATCGATTGGTATGTTTCTTTTATACACTAGGTGTAAGACGTATTTGACTTAGATGCGATCCAAAGCCTTTGTTAGGTCTATAAAACATATATATGCTGGTTTATTGTTTTCGATGGTTTTTTCTGTAATTTGTCTTGGTACAAATGCGGCATCTACGCAGGATCTTCCGGATCTGAATCCTTGTTGTTCATCTGATAAAGTTGTTGGTTAGAACTTTTGTGGTAAGCTTACGTGCGCAGTAGATTTATACCTCTATAATTGTTGGGGTCTTCTTTATCTCCTTTCCTGAACATTTTTTTGTTGTCTTCCGGTTTATTATTGATCTTTTTAGATGTAGACTTAATCGTGAAACATGCAAAAGTTGTTCTTCTTCTTCTTCAAGTGCCCTGTCCGTTGCAAAAGTTGGCTATTAGCATGGCAATTCTGATCTTGTTTGCGGCGCTTCTGAATAGTTCGACCGATGTGAGCCCCAAACTACTTCCGCAGATTTTGGAGCCACGAGTGTCTTCTTCTGCCTGGCCCTCGCTTACTGTCTATTTTCCTCTAGACAATCAATTGCAGTAGACGGTACTTATCGTGTCTCAATATGTTGCTTAGATATTCAAGCTTTCTTTGTTTTATTGTGCTCACGATTTCTTTCTCCTTTCTGATTCTTTGGATTACCTCTGTGTTAATGACATGTTCGGTCCAGAATATACGAAGAATGCGTCGGTACACCCACATTTCGAATGCTTCTAGTTTTCTCGTGAGCGTCCAGGCCTCCATACCATATAGCAAAAGTTGTTAAAAATTAAAAATTTCCTCAAAAGCTCGAGACTTACTTTTTCTTTAATTTTAAATCGTTTCCTTAAAACAAAAGATTGATTTGATTTATATTTACAACTTTTTTTTTAAATAGACAAATTAGTACAAAAAAAATTATTTTCGTATTGATAAACATTTTTGTCCCTTTCAATTAATTTTTGATAATTGCAGGTGGATCCAAATCAGCCAGTTCTGGTACCTGGTGATTTGGAACGGAAAATAATGGAAAAAATAAACAAACAAGGTGGAATAGTATACACTCCAACTCACATGTCGATGGTTGAAAAAGTATCTAAAGAGCTTGGCGTCAGAACAGTTAAATTCAAATGAAATAGTTAATTTTTTATAAGAAAAATCCGTTTATCAGGTTTCTATAACAAAGTGGCGTGTATTGGTAATATTAATAAAGAAACTTTAAACATTTGAATCAGTTTATTAAGTTTAATAATTAATTATTTTTTTACTTATAATACTTATCTTATTCTTCTTGGACGTTGACGATGATTCGGACCTATGGAAGTGTTAGTACGGGATCCGAATCTAGGTCGAGCTTCACTCATTTGTTTACCGAATGATTTTTTTTATTAAATTTCATAAATAGACAAATGCGTCTTGCTTTTCAACCCGGCAGAATGTTGAGTTTAATTCCATCGCTCTTGTAATTTCTTCAGTTCATGAGCGCAGAAGTCTACCTATTTTTCTTCTTCCAGGAGGCTTCCATCTGTGAAGTTTTTGGGGCCAATGTTCGTCAGGTATTCTCAATAGGTATCCAAACTATTTTAAACCTCTTCTTTCTATTCTGTCCATGACCGTTTCTGTAGCATTCATGTTATTTCTTATATATTCGTTGGTCCTCCTTTCCAGCCTTGATGTTCTAGCACTTCTTCTCAAAATAATCCATTTCAACTGCCAATAATCTTCTCTTCAGGTCTGCATTAATTGTCCATACTTCAGAGCCATAGCAAAGAACTGATTCAACCATGGTTTGCCCTATTATTTTCTGTTCCTTTTGTAAATGTTTTGATCCCACCATAAGAAGTTCAGACATCCTACAATTTTACGTCCCTGATTAATTCGGGGACGAAAATATTTAAATTTTTCCACTTGTTTGATTTCCACGTCCTCGTCTATCAACACTTCTTGCATCTGAATTGATAACTAAATATTCTGTTTTCTTCATGCTGACTTGTAACCTCCACTTCACATATTCTCTGTATAGACGTTTTATCATAAATTCTATATCATAAGAATCTTGAGCTAGGACGACTTGGTTATCCGCAAAATTCAGGGAGAACAATAGGTCATTTCCTATGGGGATTCCCTGGCAGTGGTATTTCCAATATTGGAAGGCTGCCTCAATACATAAATTAAACAGTAAGGGTGGCATACCGCATCCTTGTCTTAGTCATTTAGTTGCTTTTATTGGCTCTGATGGTCTATTTCCGATTTTTAGATAAGTAGTGTTATCCCTGTATACTTCTGTGATTAATCCTAAAAGGTATGGACTAATGCCGAGTTGTTGTAAAGCTTGCCACAATTTAAGTCTTGGAACTGTATAATACGCCTTTTCTAGGCCGATGAAGGTTAGATGTACTTCGGTACCAACCGCTATTCTTTTTTCTATTAATTTTTGGAGTATAAACAAGTTATCAGTGCAAGATCTACCAGACGTAAATCCACTTTGGTCTTCGCTAATTAGATGTCCTACATCATCTTGTATTTTTATAGCCAGCTCACTCTATTATTTTTAAGAGACTCATAATATATCCGGCTCCATGTTTTCTTTTAATATACCTTATATTAAAATATTTCGCCAGCGTTTTTAAGTGCGTAAGTTATTTTAAGTGCGTTTATCAACTTCCTTCAAGGACCAGCATTCAGATCCGTGTGAAAAAATTGAGAAAACCATTGTTTTTACAAGCCTCTTATATGTATGTATGTTGATGTAACTTTTGCATATTTTGGTGAATTTTGTCGTTGCTTCCTTGATTATTGCTGATCTTTTGATTTCTTGGGTGCATCCTTCAAGTTGGGAGTTGGTTATGAAGGTACCAATTGGTATCTGGAGGAGATTAAGTAAGCAGTGTGATATCTTCTTCTTCTTAAAGTGCCCTCTCCTCAATGGAAATTGGCTACTACAATTTTAAACTCTTCTCTATCTTCAGCTGTTCTTATTAGCTGTTCAAAATTTAGCCCTGTCCATTGTCGGATGTTTCTGAGCCACGATAGTCTTTTCCTTCCTAGTCCTCTCTTTCACTCGATTTTTCCTTTCACTATAAGTTGGGCATATTGGTACTTATTATTTCTCAGTATGTGGCCTAGGTATGATGTTTTTCTAACTTTTACTGTGTTAAAAAGTTCTCTTTCTTTGCCTATTTTATGCAGCAGTTCTTCGTTTGAGGTATGCGATGTCCATGAAATTTTGAGTATTCTCCAGTAGATCCACATTTCAAAGGCCTCCAATTTATTTACGGTTGATGTTTTAAGGGTCCACGTTTCAACTGCATATAGAAGAGTCGACCAGACGTAGCATTTTGATAAACGTAGTCGAATTTCGAGTTTTATTCGAGAATCACAAAGCAGTTTTTTTATTTTTTCGAAAGATTTCTGGCCTTTTCTATTCTCGATCTTATTTCTAGATCAGGATTTAGGCTGCTATCGATCCAACATCCCAGGTACTTAAATCTATTGACCTGTTCTAAAATGTGTCCATTTATTGTGCAAGGTTGAGGTACGTTTTGGTTTTTTCGGATTGACATCACTTTGGTTTTTTTTTAATGTTTATTTTCATACCAAATTGCTCACAGGTCGAGTTTGTCTTGTCGATGAGTCGTTGTAGACCTAAGTCGGAATCCGCAATTAACACTGTATCATCGGCGTATCTGATACTGTTGATATTTACGCCATTCACATTGACTCCATCCTTGGAATCCTCCAATGCTTCTTTAAATAGAAACTCAGAGTAGTGATATAAGATATATAATATAGATACAATAAAAATAGTTTTATTATGTAGTTTCATTTTATATATCACGTTTAATGTTTTTATATAACACATTTCAGTAAAAAATAGTGCATTTTTAAATTTATTTGTAAAATGTATAAATATAAAAAATATTATGTATTAAATAAATATACGGTTTCATATGTTTCTATGAAGCGAATTTGGATGTGAATAATGTCCGGAATGAATTGACCTTGGAACGGTTCTTTGAGAAAATTGAGAGTAAGTATCTTCTTGGCCTGGATGGACTAGGAGCACCGGATGCATATTCAATGATTTTCTTGAACCTGCTACACTAGCTGTGTCTCCCATAAAAGCACCATTCATTTCACCTAAAATTAAATATAAAATTTTATATTATCATAAGTTAATGAATTTATTTTTTTAGCTGTTAATAAAGTTTAAGGAACTAAAATTAAAGCTCTCGTCACATAGTTCTCATAATCAAGTGTAAGGTTCTCATGACATAGTCTAAGTTGGGGTGTTTGTGACATAGAAGAAAGGATGAAACGAGTTTTTTCGATGGGAAAACAGAAACCTGTTATTTTGTGACAAGAGTTCTAAGTGTTGTATAAAGTTCAGTGTGTGACAAAATATAATGTTGTATATTTTTATCTTTGCAAAAAACTACATTATCCGCGTAGACGCGTGCCTTTATAGGCGATTTTAGATTTTTGTGAATATCATTGATGGCCACTATGAAGAGTGTAGGACTTATAACCGAGCCTTGAGGAATGCCATTTTCTGGATACATTATATCTGATGTGTTGTTTGTATTAACTCTGAAAGCTCTATTTTGAAGGAAGTTTTTAATAAAAGAGGCAATGACTGGATTTCTCAACTATATAATTTTGTTATTATATAATGGTACCAGGCTGTATCAAAAGCTCTTGATATGTCAAAGAAAACCACTAGACATTTACTCCTTAGTGTTAATGCTTCAGAAATGTCAAACAAATACAAATATATGAAGTGTTAACTGATGAGAAGATTGTGCAAGCGGCTATGTGTGAGGATGATGAGCAATATGAGTACAATAGCGTTGAAGTTTTCGCCTTCGAAAAAGTTGGTAGTTCAGAGGCAGTAGGAGCTTTTAACACAGCTTTAAAATGGGCTGAAGAAAACGAATTTGATAGGCACGAAGTTATGTTTCTCCCTCGGCATAGAGATAGGGCTTTTGAAATAAAGTTCGCTAATTATAAACAGAAGAGCATTACACACTTTTCAAGAAAAAGTAACTAATGTTTTATTGAACTAACTGTTTTTCTACATGGATGTAATTTTGAATATTTTCATTTTTTCTTTATACTGTAATTTAAATATTGATTAAAGAATACAAGGTTAAACATATGTTTTATTACAATTAAATATGGCATACTCGAATCCGGATGCCGCGATAATCCGCAAAGGGTATTGTTTTTGCCTCTCCGGATTAACTAGGTCCTACTGTATAAACATTAAGCTGTACATACCTTTGAAGAGACTAGGTGACGTAGAATAATTGGGATCAGCCTGTAATTTGATGTGTCTCAAAGCTAGAAGAAATGCTAAAGTTGATAATATAACAGCATCCAAACAACCAATAGCTGCCAATATGTAAGTCCATCGAATGTGGCAATCACCCAACATGTATTTATCTGTAGACGTTCCACAAACTTTGCGAATGTTGTCTGAATTCCATCCAGCTGGGTAAACAGCACAACCAGCAATCATACAAGCGGCTAAAACATAATATATAATATTAAATAGTTAAATGTATTAGTATATTATGTAAATTTTATTTGAACTTAATCGCGAAATTACAGTTGACCTAGATATTTACTGACAAGAACATTATATCTTATTTCTGTTTCCTTTCGAGTAACTTTGGAATTATGGGTATTACAGGAACTGTACAAAATGATAAATACTGCAATAATATCGAACAGTTTCCTTGTGGACTGGAAAACAATAATAACCTCACGTCTTTATAAAATAAACACAAGAAAATATATTAATTTTAATGATGAAACTATTTCCTGTTTACCTCATAGATATATTAAGTATATATTACGTAGATACCGGGCAATCAAAAAGAGTTATACATAGTTCGGTGACTGAAAAGTTTAAGCTACGAATTTTTTAAAACTGTATCGATTTACTTGAAATTTTGACAAAAGTTATACAATGCCAATATGTGCTTTTAACCTAGGGATAAATGCCACATCTCAGAGATGTAAATTTAAAATGTCAAAAGTATCGATAGATAATTAGATTTAAAGCAAAAAAAGTTTTTTGTTAACCCAATACTTTTCTAGTTATTCGTAATTAAAATTGTCAAAAAACTGTTTTTAACACGTTCGCGACGACGTGTACCACCGGTGGTACATGCCTAACTTTTCATTTAGCCGTTTGTGGCCACCGGTGGTACACGGTACCTTTCTATTTCTTAACTCTCTAAAAATTACGACTGAGAAGTAAAATACCTTACGTTAATTAAACAACATTGTTACAAAAAATAAAGAAATTTATTTTTTATTGTTGTAGACGCAATATAATGCGAGTTATACTCCATGAAGCGAATTTTACCTGTACCGAAAATTTATTTGAAGATTTCAATGATAAATAAATTGAAAACGAGCAATTATCTTATACCTTTTTGAGTAGAGAAATATACCTTGTTGTCTAACCTTTAGCCTAGTATATACGAGATCTGGCCATTATATTTCGAGAGTGTTGGTACCTATAACGTCTCTATTTAGTCATTTTTTATATTTTCTTATTTTCCCCCTTCAGGTACTCTCCTAGAAATGTATGTATAGCAATGAGAAGAAGGATAATAAGAGTAGGAATCAAGCCTAAGGTCATCGAGGAGATCGAGGAAGAGTACCGAGCAAGGAAGAAGGAACTGTACAGGAAAATCCGTACATAAAAAAGAAGGCACTGGAAAGAGCTGTGTGAAAAGCTGCATGAGGACATCTGAGGTCAGGAATATAAGATCGTCATGAAGAAGTTCATGCGCATACTCCTTACGAAATGCCTATGGACAAGAAGCTTGAGGTAACAAAAGAGCTCTTTCCGGACGGCAGATGTCATGGTGTATGGAGGGATAAAAGAGCTGGATGGGCTGTACCCTTTACTATGAATGAACTTATCGAGGAATTGGGTTCACTGAAGACTCGTAGGTCCCCCGGACTGGATCAGATACCGCCTGAGGCGGTGAAGGGTCTAGGAACGGGTGGGGCCTGCGTGGCTTCTGGAACACATGAATGCACTGCTAGAAGCACAAACCTCTCCTAAGCCTTGGAAGACATTGAGGTTAATACGGCTTCCCAAAGCTAGGGAAAAGTATCACGATTGATGCAGTCATGAGTGTACTCGAAGCATTGCGCAACAGATGGGATGAACATCGGTAGGCGGCCCTGCTGTTGTTTGATGTTAAGAATTCATGCAATGCGCTGCAGTGGAACGAAGTAATGTCCTGTTTACCTGATGGTTGTGGTGGCGGAGTATCTGTCCGAGAGAAGGATTGTGGTGGAAAAGGGCACGATCGTGGACGTGACGGCCGGGGTACCCCAGGGATCTGTCTTGGGCTCGACGCTATGGAATGTAGCATATGAAGTGGTTATGCACTGTGAATACGGAGAGGATACAACCCCCTTCGCATTCACTGATGATCTCGCTGTACGGGTAGTGGTCTAGGATGATCCAGATCTCAAATACCGGATTCGGAACGCAGGCGGCGTCGTAAAGAAATGTATGACGCAGCACGGACTGAAACTTGAGATAAAACTGAAGCCATCATTCTGAAGGGGACAAGGAACAGGCAAAGTATTGAATTAAAATGTGCGGAAGCATGTCTAACAAACAAGAAACAAGTAAAGTATCTAGAAGTGGCATTGCATCAGAATGGAATGGAAAATGGTGAGAGCGGGAGGTAGTCCGGAAGGCTGCGAATAGTGCGGCTGTATTGGGGAGGGTGATGCCAAACATTGGAGGACCCAAATCCGAAAGGAGGATGGTCTTACACGGTGTTGTACAGTCGATCGTCCTCTACGTGGCACCAGTCTGGAACGAGGCAGTATAGATAACGGTCTATGGGAGTTTCAGGACACGAGTGGATAGAACAAGTCTGTTTCGAGTGACATGCGCCTACAGCACTGTGTAAGGCGGTGGAAAGAAAAGAGCTTTACGAGAGAAGAGGCCCAAACCTTACCGTGGCCGATAACAGACAGGAAATGGAAAGGTCAGTTGAAAGATGGCAAGAAGAATGAAAAACACGGGGGATGTGGCACAGTGGACGAAAATGCTGATCCCGAACATAACAGATTGGGTTGACTGTGGCCACATGCGACTGGATTTTTTCCTGACGCAGGTGCTCACAGGACACGGGTGTTTTAGGGCCTACCTCTATAGGATCGGAAAGGCTGATACAGATGAATTCCTATACTGTGGATACTCGGACACTGTGACACATAGGATGTTAGATTGCAGCAGATGAATAGTGGAAAGAAACAGTATGAAAAGAAAGACAGGTGTGAATTTTGTTACAGTGAGGGTAATTATTGAGGGAATGATTGAAAATAAATTAGGTTGAACTAACATACACAGCTACATCGGTGCAGTGATAAAAAAAAGGAAGAAGAAGAAAGACAGCTGGACCAACGGCAAAAGTAAGACTGAATGATTCCTGGACTGAGATGTCTTTCCATAAAGACGAAAAAAAGGTACTCTCCTAGTATTATCAGTAAGTAGTTACTAATAGATTAAAAGTACCGAAATCAAAGAGTGTGTAAATCCACTGATTGAATCAGTTGCTATCAACAAGTTCTCGTAGACACTTGTTGATAGCAACTGTACTACTGACTCTCGTAGTCTCAGTACTAGCAATCTCCAGTAGAGTCTTACGTTGCCATGTTATCAATTACAACAACTTAAACATCCTAGTATATAATATAAATAATGTAACTTAAATTCAATTAAACAACATTTAACATCTACAATCATGATGGAATATTAATTCCGAAAAAGTTCTGTGATGTATCCCGATAAGGTGTTTTAATTATATTCCTTTTATAAAGGATTTTAAAATAAAAATTTTTCTAATACATGGTATACAGCCAGCTACAGGAACTTAGTTTCCTTGTGGAATTTAGTAAATAGAAAGTTGAAAGTAATAATAAAAAAGTAATAAATGAGTCAAATAAAAAGAAATTGAAATAAAATAATTATTTAAACAACAATTACAAACATATGACGTGTCAATACATATCAGAAACGATTGTAACAGCAAAGATAAGACTAAAGAAGAAAGACTTTTTTTTAACCTATTCTCTATTCTTTCATTGTTGGATATAGATCTCCCCCAGTTCTCTCCATCTTTCCCTATATTGAGCTGTTCTCTGCCATGTGGGACCTCCTTGTTTCCTGATATCATCTTTCCACCTCATCTGTGATCTGCCTCTTGATCTCTTTGCATTGTATGGACGCCACTTTCCGATGGCATTGTTCCATCGTCCGTCTTGGAAACGTTCATTGTGTCCAGCTTATTTCCATTTCAGTTTTGCTGCTTGTTTTATCGCGTCTACTGTCTTCGTTCTGGTTCTGATCCAATGGTCAAGTTTTCTATCTTTAAGTGATATACCCAACATTTGTCTCTCCATCGCTCTTTGTGCCTTCCTTATCCTATCCAAATTGGCCTGTGTAAGTGTCCATGTCTGTGCTCCGTAGGTGAGCACCGGTATTATACAGGAGTTATATACCTTGCTTCGTAAGTATAGAGGGATTGTTTGATTTTTCAGAACGTAAGACAGTTTGCCGAACGCTGCCCATCCCATTCTTACTCGTCTCGATATTTTGGCTGTTTGATTTTCTCTGTTAGCTCTGATTGCTTGTCCTAGATAGATATACTCATTTAGTAAGACTTAAACATCAACAATAAAGGAAACATTTAATGACGAAGTAGTAGATTAAGTCAGAGGGAAGATGATAATATTAGGGCATTTTAAAGGTAAAAGAAGGCATTTGACAGGGTCAAATTAAAAGACATTATCCACTTATTTTACGCAAAAGAAATACCTCTAGGAATAGTTAAAATGATCGAAAATATCTACCAAAACAACCATAAAAAAAGAACTAACTGACAGAATTGAAACTGGCATAACAGGAAGAGTCCCTGGGCCCTCAATTGTTCAACAACTTAAAAAGTATTGAGGAGGAAGAGGTAAAGGAAGCATAAAGGAAATTAAAAATAGAAAATCACCAGGAGAGTACAGAATACCGAACAAACTCCTAAAGAATGGAGGACCAGATCTGACCAAACAACTATTAAAACTAATTAAACAAATAATAGAACAAAACAGAATTCCTCAAGAATGGAGATATCCTAATACCTCTCTTCAAAAAGGGAGAAAAATCGGACCCGGAAAATTACAGAGAAATTAATTTATTAAACACATCACTAAAATTAACAACCAAAGCGATAATAAATTGAATGAAATTATAACACTAGCAGAAGAACAACAAGATTTTAGGTCGGGAAGATCATGCACCAACGCAATATTTATAATGAGGCAAGTGTAAGAGAAATCATTAGAATACAAAAAAACGGCATATCTATGTTTCGTCGACCTTACAAAGGAATTTGACCGGGTCAAATTAAAAGATGTTATCCACTTACTGTATGCAAGAGAAATACCTAGAGGAATAATCAAAACGATTGAAAATATGTACCAAAACAACA